GTGAACGGACAGGCCACCGCTTCATCCTATACCAGTACCGGAGGGCCAGATGGCCGGGCAACCATCACGCCCGAGTCCACCACGCGTGATGAAAAGTCAGCAGGTCAGAGCCCGCATGCCGTTCAACAGACCACCAACACTCACGAAGGCAATTAAGATTAATTGTCGTCGTATGTTTGCAGTAATGACTGTATCCTACACATATTACAAACTCCTGTGCATGTGTTACCCTACCTGCTGTTGCTTTCTGACTATGTCTCTGAGGACGAATACGCGACGAACCTTGAAACGTCAGGCGAACAAAAGTACTGTCCCAGCGATCGAGTCGTCTTCTTCTCAATGTCTCACTCTCTTGCTCTTCCCTTTGGACAAGACTGGACGCATTCAACACTAGCCCTGGCTGCGTCAGTGATAACTGCTACCTGAGCCAGCAAACTAGTATGCTGTACACAATAAATTCCATCCACAGGTGCCTTCTGCCTTTTTCCAACGACCCGGATTCGACCTGATGATTGTAGTGCTCCCAGTACACTGACAACTTAGATACTACTGCATTAATGAATGAGAGTTTGGTCTATATGCTTTGCATCCAAGTAGTCCCTAATTAGATGTCTGATGCCCGGATGTGAGATTGCGGGTTTGAGTGGCTGACGACGACCAATAAGCCAAAAATGGTCGATAACCACCTTGGTTACCAATTGCTCTTCAACTTGTAACAACCTCGAGGACTCTGAGTCTGGAATCGAAGGCCGTTTAGGCTTCCTTTTACACTAAGTCAAGTCAAGTTTATGAAAGGCAATTTAGGCAAACTCCCCATTTGATACATAGTATTTAAGAAATGCATCGGCACAGTCGAACATTTCAAAGAAGTTGTCTGTATAATTTTAGGCGACTACTCGCTTGTTTCAAGTAACACACTCACATGTGGTGATGTCAGTTAACACGAGCCGGCAGTGTTACTGAGCAAGAAGAGCAGAGAGTGAAAAAAACTCCTAAGGCATGACTCATAATTCAAAATTAAATGTCATTTGTGGTTTTAAGGAGAAAAACTGTCGCATTTGCAAAATTTGGTTGTTAGCGGTATCAGCGCCTCAGAATATACCCGTGCTCGCAAAGCCATGCGGTTAGGAGGATTAGTTCGAATGAAAATACAAAAATTACAAAAAACAACAAGGGAGATTTTATTTATTTCATGTGGCTTTCCTATTTCCCTCCGTCCGTTAGGCTTTTCTCAAACTCAACAGAACACAACTGTGCCTCCAGCCTCTCGATTACAGCCCGTCTGTCACCATTCACAGGAAATCTGTAAGTCATGTACAGAGTACTTTTTAATAGGTTTTTATAAAGGGATCTGAGTAGACCACAGAAATATGGACAGTGCAGCTGGCCCTGTGCTGCTGCTTCAGAAAAGATGAGCGTTAGGATTAGTTATACGGTCAGGATTAGTGTACGGAATGGGGTTAAGAGGGTTAGAATTA